AAAATCTGAAATCTTCTCCTCTTTTTTCTACATTGTTGCATTATTTTCTAAATAAGTATAAGTGTCAAGTGTGATTTGCTCCGTTTGTTGAGTTCGCTGAAGTTATGTGATTTGTAGTGCCGTTATCACAGAATAGTTATTCTGTTCTATCCTGGGAGGTATTAATCCAAAACCTTGGGCAACAGTGAGGGGATTAAATTCCTTAATGACACACAAGAAACTTGTGGGCTCGGAATTATTTTATGTTTTGTAGAACTAACGTTTATTTTTTGCTTTTCTGATTTTCTGGTTTCGAACACAGACTACTAACAGAATTCACTTTTCCTAGTGTGCTTAAGGCATGTTCTATTGAGAAGGAACTTCTGTTAGGAAAGCAGCTTCATGGGATTGTTGTGGTGACAGGGTTTGAGTTTGATGTTTTCGTCGCAAATACTTTGGCTGTTATGTATGCTAAATGTGGCGAGCTTTTTTGATTCTAGGTTGTTGTTTGAGGAAATTCCCGAGAAAAATGTTATTTCTTGGAATGCTTTGTTTTCTTGTTACACACAAAATGCTTTTTTCAGTGAGGCAATGTGTATGTTTCATGACATGATTGGTAGTGAAGTTATGCCTGGTGAGTATAGTTTATCCAATATACTGAATGCTTCTACTGGTTTAGGAGATATTGTTCAAGGAAAGAAAATTCATGGATTTTGGTAAAGCTTGGTTATGATTCTGATCCTTTCTCGTCTAATGCCACTTGTCGACATGTATGCCAAAGGGGGAGATCTTAAGGATGCAATTACAGTTTTTGAGTGAAATGCGATAGCCTGACATTGTTTCATGGAATGCTATTATAGCTGGTTGTTTTCTTCATGAATGTCACCCGCAGGCTTTAGACATGTTGAATCAACTGAGAGAGGTCTGGAATTTTCCCTAATATGTTCACTTTATCAAGTGCTCTCAAGGCTTGTGCTGCATTGGAGCTTCCAGAATATGGTAAAGGGTTACATTCTCTTTTGATAAAAGAAATATATCATATTGGATCCATTCGTAAGTGTTGGTCTTATTGGTATGTATTGCAAGCGTGATTTGACCAAGGATGCGAGTTTGATCTGATGCCCGAGAAGGATTTAATTGCATTGAATGTTATGATCTCTGGTTACTCACAGAATGAGGAAGACAATGAATGTCTAGACCTTTTTGTTCAGAAGTACAACCAAGGAACTAGATCTGACCAGACAAGTTTACTTGCCATCCTCAACTTTGCTGCTGGCTTGCAGGCTGCTAATGTGAAACGAGTACATGTACTTTCTATGAAGTCAGGATTTCAGTGTTGATGACACATTTGTCATAAACAGTCTTGTTGATTCTTATGGAAAATGTAGCCTGCTGGATGACGCAACTAGAACTTTTGACGAGTGCCCTATATGGGATTTGCCATCTTTTACCTCTCTTATAACCGCTTATGCTCTATATGGCCAAGGTGAAGATGCTATGAAACTCTACCTGAAGTTGCAAGATATGGGATTCAAGCCAGATTCATTTGTTTGCAGTTCTCTCCTAAATGAATGTGCAAATCTATCAGCATATGAATATGGGAAACAAATACATGCTCATGTATTGAAATAGGGGTGCAGGCACCTTATGTCAAGCGGTGTCACCTGACACCGCTTCGTCAAAATTTCTCGTCAATATGTATATATAGATAATAAGAAAAATACAAATATTTGATATAAATATAAAAAATGACACTGCATATCGTTATAGTAATTTATGTTCACTTTTTCAAATGTTGACACCGCTTACAAAAATTCTTGCGTCTGCCACTGTATTGAAATATGGGTTCATGTCAGATGTATTTGCTGGTAATTCCCTAGTGAACATGTATGCCAAATGTGGAAGTATAGAGGATGCTAACCGTGCTTTCACTGAGGTTCCCTAAGAAAGGCATTGTTTCATGGTCATGGACATGCAAAAGAGGCGCTTCATTTATTTGGCGAGATGCTGAATGATGGCGTATCTCCCAATCACATAACATTGGTTAGTGTCCTTTGTGCATGTAACCATGCTGGCTTAGTTGCAGAAGCCAAGAAGTATTTTGACACAATGATAGATTTAATTTGAGATTGAACCAACTCAAGAGCATTATGCCTGCATGATCGATGTCCTTGGCCGGGCAGGAAAACTAGATGACACTATTAATCTCATAAATAAGCTGCCTTTTGAAGCTAATGCATCTGTCTGGGGTGCTCTTTTGGGTGCTGCAAGAATCCATAAGAGGTAAGAGGTAGGGCAATGTGCTGCTGAGATGCTTTTTAATCTTGAACCAGAGAAATCTGGCACTCATGTTCTTCTTGCAAACATTTATGCATCAGTTGGGTTGTGGGAAAATGTTGCAAAAGTAAGAAGACTGATGAAAGACAGTAGAGTGAAAAAGGAACCTGGGATGAGTTGGATTGAGGTCAAAGATAGTGTTTATACATTTATAGTGGGAGACAGAAGCCATTCTAGAAGTGAAGATATATATGCCAAATTGGAGGAGTTGGGACAATTAATGACTAAAGCTGGTTATGTTCCAATGGTAGAGATTGATCTCCATGATGTGGAAAAGAGACAAAAAGAAATTCTTCTCTCCTACCATTGTGAGAAACTAGCTATTGCATTTGGGCTGATTGTTACACCTCCTGGTGCTCTTATTAGAGTGAAGAAGAACCTCCGGATATGTTTGGACTGCCATACAGTTTTCAAGTTCATTTGTAAAATTGTCTCTAGAGAGATCATTATTAGAGTATTAACCTATTACACCATTTTAAGGACGTTTCTTGTTCATGTGGTGATTATTGGTAGCACTTGAAGGATTAACTCTTTCATTTGGCTAGAAGATCCTGCCACTGAGCAAGTTTATACTTTCTAATTCGCCTGGAGCTGATAAGAGGTAGGTTGAAACCTTTAGACCAAAAAAACTTGTTTCTTGTTTCCTTTTTCCCTTATCTTCCCTTTAACAGCTTCTGTGTATGTTCAACTTGTCCCTGTCACTTATGGAATATTTAGCTTTTGGGGGATATCCTGCTAACTGTGTCACTAATTATCTGAATACCTTTTCTCAGTAATATGAACACCTCGTCCTTACTTAAGATTTTGATGGGGGCATATCTCAATTCCTTATTGGCACAAAAACTTACTATATCTTGTGATGATAGCGACAATAACCTGACGAATCATGGTTATCTTGTAAACTGTCCTCCTAGAAAAGTCTAACAGTAACTCTCTTATAATATTTTAAAAAGAAAATACAAAAATAGTTACAATTTTAATTGTAAAATCTTGTGCAGATTCAGTTTCCTTTTTGATGCATCTATTGCAAAAATACCAGAGTGCATAGATATGTGTCACATGTGTGTTTATGTAACACAGAAAGAGACATTCATACTTTTGCATTTATTGCTACTGCTCAACATATGTTCGTATTGGGAAATGGTAACTCAATATGATAAAGGTAAAGAAGCATATCTTGAAAAGTAAAGTCTAACTGTTGCAGATAAGTAATCTGTAATTCTGTATCAGTAGTTGCATTTGGCTTTGCGAAATTGCATCTTATTTTTTATTATCTTTGTCTAACCTGATGTGCAATGTTTTCCTCTTGCTTCCGCTTAAGAAAATAAAATAAATATTGATGTACAAGTTACATGATATTTAAATTTGCAAAGGATGTGCTTGCCAAATTCCATTGTCTTTGTTAGACATGGATGAATTGAAGTTATATGATGGGTTCCATGAATGTATAGAACTTAATGAAAAAGGATGATAGTTTTTGTTTCTTTCTTTGGTAGGCTGATGCTGCAGGTCTCCACAATCTCCAGTATCAAAAATCAATAACTATAGTTCAACAGTTAGATGCCAGAAACGTAAGTTGCATGATCTTGAAGGCAAAAGGAAAGAATTATGGGACAGTGAAGCTTCTTATGATTACTTCTTGGTTACGTTAAATCGGCTCTGGAATCAGCAGGATAGTGAAGCTTCTTATGATTACTTCTTGGTTACGTTAAATCGGCCCTGGAATCAGCTAACTTCTTTATTCATCCTAATAGTGTGGTGTCTGAATGGCCTAAAAAACCTAACTTGTGATTTGCGTCGTTTGATGGTCTTCTAAGTGATCTGATTCTTCTTGGAGCACACAGTGTGGCAGATCAATTTGCTTTGCAAAGCTTGGATCATCTAGATGATTCTCGAGGTTGGCTGTTAGAAGTATATGTGAATTTGGTTTTATGTATTATCCTGAAACTTCAATGGAGAAAAGATAAGCTCTTGTGCATTGTTGTGAGAATAATTTATTGATTTCTAAAATCATTTAGGTTCAATTCTATCATGTCCCACGGAGGAGATATTCCTGTGTAGGCTGTTGAAAACCAATGTTTGGCAGTTCCAATGCCAAATCTATTGTGAATATCAGAGAAGCTCTTGATCTGTGTCAATCTTTATCTTGGAAGATGCTATTGATGCTCAGCGAATTAAAACAGAAATTTTTTCTCTTGTTTTGGAAGGAGAGCCATCAGCACAAGGTAGTAACCTGGAAAGACCTTGATGTGGTCCTACGTTTCTACTCTTTATTCTGTGATTACTTTGCAAGTTTTAGTCATCTTCGGGATTTATTTTTTACTATGTACAGATGTGGTGCTTGAATCAGGTCAAAACTGATTATTTGCCATCATTCAAATTTTCAGATGCCATCATTCTCTTAAGTAAGGTCGATGCTACGATGAAAGAGGAGGCTAATTGTCTCCATCAAGTGATTGATGTTCTTCATTTCAAACACAAAGAATAGGCTGATGCAATTGGAGTTTGTCGTCAAAGCCATTCACTGCTTCAATCTGAGTTAACATGCCTTGAAGGTATTTGCAACATTCCTTTATTTCATGCATTGACACAATTTTTTGAGGTGTGTACGTATATGAGAGCTCTAAAGTACAATCAGTATTCTGACTTATAGTCAACATTGATATCAAATTGTAGAGACGTACTTATGTGGCTGTTGGAATTGGTATATGATGTTTATCTTCAACCATGTATGTTGGCATGGAATTGAAAGCTAAGAGCTCCAAATAGAAAACCCGTATCATCAGTTACCGTCCAGCCAACTTATACAAAGAGCTGTGCCTGCTACAGAGTGGCAACCTGCTTCTGAGTCAAACTCAATGTCCCAGGCAGATGAAGGTTTATGTCAAGAAGGTAAGATGAATGCATATTCGCAATCAATGTCACTACATCTTTGAGTTGCTGCATCCTAGCTTCTAGCTCATTATATTACCGAGTTTAGCTAGGATTTGACTCTATATACTTTTCTCCAGGGGAAACAAAATCTGTCTACCTGAGGAATTTGCCGTCCACCGTACTAATCTAGATTCTTTGCTAGAGTTTAAGAACTTTGGGAAGAATAAGCAGGATGGAGTATTCTTGAAAAAGCGCAAAGTAGTTTTTGTAAAGATATGGCACTTGGGCCTAACTCAACCCCAAAAGCTAGCTAATTAGGGGAGGATTGCCCAAGTCTATATAAGGAGACCACCAGTCCATTCCCCAACCAATGTGGGACTCTAGCCCACTCTAACAGTTTTTTTTTTCCCATTGTCAATATTATATGCTTCAATTGTCTTGCATGCTCTAATATTTCGATTGCAATTGATGGGCAGGATATCAGCATTTGCTATATCTTTGTTGAGTTTGAATACCTCCAGGGTGTCCAAAATGCAATTAAGATATGAACTTTGAAAATTTGAAATCACGATTCATTGATTTGTTGTGTGTTTTCGTGGAGGATTTTGAGTTGCATTTCTAGTTGTTGGTAAAAGCTGCTCTTATTTTTTTCTTTACCTTCTGTCCTGTATGATTCTCAGCAGATTGTTCACTCAATCTTAATTTTGGCTAGCTTTCTAGCATTAAATCGCATGTGTAAGGTCCGCGTTTGAAATATTTCTGATCACATAGATCGATGATCTTGTATTTAATGGTTGTGGAACTTGCTATCAGTAGATAAATTGTTTTCTGAAACAATATGATGCAGTTAGTTGTCTTGAGTAATAGTTGTAATTGGAAGGTGTACTTCCATGAATTATTGCCACAATCTCATATTCAGACATTACTTTGTTATCTCATCCTTTGTATACCTAGTATATGATGCTTTCTCTTTCTTGTTCTTAGACATTACCCATACAGTTAGCTGGAAGGCAAGTCTACATTGAGGAAAGTAGATCAATCAGCAATGGTGTTTCTCGTGGAGGTAGTCTGTACCTTAAAATTAATTTCAATTTCACATTGCGCCTGCGGTACTTATATCTCTTTATGCTTTTCTTAGAGATTTGTTCTACCTTTTGCTTGCTTGAGTAGTTCTTTGGTTGAACCAATTACCATTATCCTTGTATGCGGGATATAATATCTTGGTCATGAGTTAGCCTGTGTACGAAGATTTCCTGTTTCATTTGGATTGATATGACAGTACTTCACCTCCCAAATATGTTTGTTTGGTTATCAACTAACTGGAGGTACTGTGGATTTTCCATTTTATTGGCTTGCGAGTTTTTTTATTGTATAAAAGGGAAATCTTATTAAGATACTAAGTACCAGTACAATGCTTGATCTTTCTAGGGTACATAGTTCCTTTTAAGATCAGTTTCAAAGTTAAGCTTCGCAAAAACAGGAGGTACAACATGAAACGCAAAAAAAAAAAAAAAAAAAAAAAAAAAAATCGTTGAATTGCATCTTCCTTTCTTCCTTCCTTAGCTACGCAGACTGCTACCTTGTTTGCTTCTGTGTAAATATGCCATACCTGAAATCCTCCTAGCCTAGATAGTAGGAACCTGCAGTCATCAATCAGATTAGTATAACAAGTATTACCTTCTTTTATCATGTCAATCACTTCTCTGGAGTCATGTTTCAGTTTGTAGCCGATGGAATTGATGCCTTAATGCTATTTCTTGACCTTCTCTTAGAGCTCTTAATTTTGCATGTGTATTTGTTATGTTCTTTTTTCTTATGGTTATTTGTTATGTAGGAGATAGATTTGGATTATCCCAAAAGCCAGCTACCATTACTGTTTCTGAATACACCACTCAAACCCCCTCTGCCTTAGAAGCCCCGTCAATATTAAGTTTAATCCAGCCTGTATCTGGAGGTTGCCACCTTATTTGTTTTAAGATTGTAGTCCTTAGAAGTATTATTTCCTATTAAGGCTCAAAAAAAGTCAGGCTCTTGATAAAACGTGGTTTGTGAGTTACTTTAGTACTACTCTACATGTGTTTGCTGGATTTATGAAGAATTCAAACTTATCAAAGAAAAAGAAGAGAAGATTTCAATGATTACGAGCAGAGCACCATCAAAGAATATTTTAGTAACTGCACTATCTGCTGCTTTTTGCATGCATGTTTTGACCCTCTGTTTAACATATTCTTCCACAACTGCCTTGATCAGGAAGGCAAAGAGGTAAAGGAGGATGTTCCAGGATTGAAATTTTCAGAGGGGAAGCAATCAAGGCAATGGTTTTCGTGGCACATCATAATATAAGAGTATGACTTACCAACCTGAAAAACTAAATTTTGGCAGGGGATGATAAGGAATGTGGCTCAGTGTTCTTTCTTTCTGATGGTATGGTCTTCTCATGGAAGGAATTAGATAAATCTCAGTGTTTTTTTATTGGGCACCGAATGCATCCAGAATAAATTTTTGCTCTTTCTCCTATAGTCACAGTTAACGCTAATTTCTTCTTACAATATGGTACTACAATCCAAGATGAAATACTGTTATTTTGATTGTTCAATGCAAGCTTTTCAGAATGTGTTGAGCAAAGCTAAATGGTATGGTGGTGATATCAAGCGGCTTCCTCGTAATCCATGCCCCCCAATTCTCCTGATTGTAATATGGTATTAAACATGTAAGCTTTGCAAGCAATGAAAGTGGCGAGGAAATTGTCAATATAATCGCTTAGCACAATTGGAGTTTGAAGAGTGCTTCTGTTTCACCATTCACAGGGTTAGTCAGTCAACCACGACAGCAGAAGAAATACAGAAGTCCTGTGCATCAGTTTTATTACTACCTTAGAGGCTAAATTACAGGTTCTTCCTAATTGCTCACTAAGCTTCAGCTAATACTGCTGTTAAATATTTGAATGAACAATGATTTTCTTTCAAGTCAAGCAGTTATAGAGGTTGTAGCTACGGTATGCAGCATTGGTGGCGCTTGTATATCATCATTCTCATCTTCTTCATCTTCCATCTCCCAGAGGAAATTAGCATAAGCTGCATGTATGTGGCTGTCAACACATCAAAGATGAAGAGGTCAGTTCTTGAAATAAATAACAACGTTCTTGAATTGTATTTCTATAATACAGTTTATTCTCAGTAGTGTATGAGAAGCGAACCTGTCACTAGAGGCAGCTTGAACTGCTCTTTCAAAATAGCTCGTGGCTCTATCTTCATCGCGGTGAAGCTCCCATATTAGTTTAGCGTACTGTGAAAGAATTTCACCATCACTTGGATCTGCTAAAATAGCTCTTGAGTAGTATTCCTCTGCCCCTTTAAGATCTTTCTTTGTCTGCCCCAACATTAGCAAGAGCAAAGTTAGCTATTGTGGATTCAGATGCCTGTAAAGATGCTAAACAAGAGTAGCTTGAGGAAGGATAAAGACTCACCTGGTATAAAAAGTTGGCATAATTTCTCAAGAATAGGGAATTGCCAGGATTCTCTTCCAACATCCTCTTGTAATGCTCTTCTATGTGGAGCCCCTGGCTATCGCCACCACCTTCCCTATCGAAGGCTACTGGCCGATAACCACCTCCTCCTCCGGCGCCCCAGCCTCCATAGAGGCCACCATCATCAAAACAACCAATATCAGCAACCCCAATTCCTCTTGCTAGGTACATTTCTTCTCTGCCTTCAACAATTTCTAACTTTGAATTTTGACTCACATAACTCATTTCCTCTTTTACACCATTAGTTCCCAAACTGGACTGCCTACTAATGTAATCAAAGTCATCATCTTCATCATCGCTGTCGTCGTCCGAATGAAGCACCCTTGAATTGTGAATGTTGAAAGATGGAATGGTTTCCAAGAATGCTTTGTGGGGTTTACGTGCAAGCATCTTGGGTGGTTTTGAGAGGCTAAACTCATCAACTTCTTCAGTTGAGGCTTTTGCTAATTCTTCCAAGTTCCCTTCAGATTGAGCTCTTCTAAAACCATTAGATGATAATTGTCTGCCATTACTGAGCTCAGAAACTGAAGGAGAGATGGAAGAGTTGGGAGGGTATAAACTCTTGGTGTAATTCTGATATCCACCATGGTTACATGAGAGTTTGGTGTAACTATGGTAAATGGAATTGGGTGTGTGATTAGGGGTTAAATCAGAGTGCTGATGGTGGTGGTGATTGCTTGGACTCTCTGAGAGTAAAGATCTAAGAAGTGGTGTTGATGAACTCCTTAACATCATTTTTCTTTTCTTGTTTGAGTGTAAAACAAAGATTCAACCTTTTTGATGTGATTACAAAGTTCCTGTGGAGAAGAGAAAAGATTTAGGCATAAACTGACAAACCCCAAAAGGAAAAATCAATAGAAGAAGAACAAAGAGAGACGTACCTCAAATGAGCATTCTTGAAAATCTTCTGGACCAATAATCTTGCTGGTGAAGAAATGACTCTTTATATAGAAAGAAAAGATTTTGACATAATAAATGGAAGATATTACAATATTGTTGGAATTGAAGAAAAAAAAGGAGTGGTGGAGAATGAAAGTTTCCAGCTAGCTTGCAAAAATATCAGATTTTGCTTATGCTTAATTATTATTTTAGCTGGAAAAGGTCAAGAGAGGTTGCTTTTTCACATGTGTGTTTGGGGTGATATCCTCCGTTGGTTACCAAAGAAAACAAATGTGATTTTGGCATTCATCTACAGCTTGGAATAACAAAAAATGAAGAGTTGTCCACTTATTTTCTTGGTTAGGACTAGGAAGGTAACAGGGTAAGAATAGTAGTCTGGCATTTTAGCATTTGAATATCCTGGCATTTAGCACGCTTTTCACCTATTTCACGTTACGCGTTGTACTGCTTAATTGATTAGTATGTTACTAACATATATAATCGTATACAAATTCTGCTGCAGGAATTTCTACAACAATTATTCACACGATTTGGCTCCAAGTCTCCATTTCAAATGTAATTTGAGAATATTGTTTTCGAAAACTAATTTTGTTGATACCTGTGAAAGCTAGGGAGAAATTGCCACCGTTGCTTTTTACCCCTTCTTCTTCTCTTTATTTAATTTTTTTGGGAGGGTTGGGGGGGTTGTCGCGGAAAGGGCGAAGTATAATCTTTTTCAATTTAGAAGATCTTATACCACAAACGAATTCTATTTTTCAGTTAAAAATCTCAGTATATAAAAAAGTTAAAATCTCTGTAACTTTGGATTTTAAATAATAATCTTAGTTGATATTTATGGGACTCTTGAGACTCTAGAAAGGGTTTAAAATCTTCATTGATTACAATTCCAAAAATTTAAGATTTCGTATGGATATGTTAGTGTAAGATTTAAGGAAGTATTAGTGTAAAATAAGCTCACACTGCCAATTCATGCTTTTGCAAATGCTGTAATTAAGGAGAACTACATGAATATATAAACTTAGACATCGTAGACAGAATCATTATTATATACATCATATTAGTTTGATGGCCTGACTTGTTAATCGTGATTGTATAAATCCTATTAGTTTGATGACCTGAATTATAATTATCTTGTATTAGTTTTTTTTTATCTTACGGAAACTAGTTCTCTCTCTATTATATATATACACTAAAACTACGATAAATTGATTAAAATTGATTATATATTTAGTAAAGTGACTTTCCTAATCAATTTTCGTTAGCTCAGTGCAAAACAAAGCATGTCGAGTCATGGAGCAGGTTGGTAAATGATTTTAGAGGACGCTTTTAATTGCTTAAATATTTAGGTGAAATGAAAAATGCCAAATATCCTAGTTACAAAAGGTAAATGTCACGACCCAAAATTTCACCACAGGTGTCGTGATGACACCTAATCTCTAAGACTAGGTAAGCCGATTCCAACTATATTTTGAAGCCATTTTTTTTTTGAATTAAATAAGTAATCAAAACTAACAGCGGAATAAATATGAATATATAACCTCCCAAGACTGGTAGTACTGAGTCACGAACTCTAATTGAATACATTGAATGATCACGGGGACCGAATATACAATACTGTTTGATTAAAAATTAACAGTACAATGAAATGAAAAGACTCCAAGGGACTGCAACGACCAAGCAGTTCTACCTTGAATCCTTACGATCCTGCTTTAACTCTGCTCAAGTCCGATATCTCCAATACCTGACTCTGCATAAAAATATGCAGAAGTGTAGTATGAGTACACCATGGTCGGTACCCAGTAAGTATCAAGACTAACCTCGGTGGAGTAGAGACAAGGTACAGTCAAGACACTCACTAGTCTAATAACCTGTGCAATATAATATATAAAATAATAGGAAACGGATAACAATAAGGGCAACATAAAACCACCAGTATTATGCACAGCAAGACAACAAGAACACCATTAATATCGCTCAACAAATAATAAATACAAGTATACCCAATTAAATCAAGATCTTCAAATAAATGCCTTTTACATATAATTTTCTCAAATAATTATCTTTCAAGTATAATTCTTTTAATAAATCTTTTCAAATATAATTTCCTCCAATAAATATCTTTCAATAAATCTTTTCAAATATATTTTCCTCAAATAAATATCTTTCAAATACAATTCTTTCATATAATACTTTCTAAATAAAAATCCTTCCAAATAAATATTTTGAATATAATTCTTTCAATTAAGAAGTCACCATGTGACACCTCATTTCATGATCTTAAAAATACGGTCTCAGCCCATTTTCATATATTGTCATGGCATTTCGTGCCCATAATTAAATCATCATATTTTTTCCGGTACCTCGTGCCCTCATTTCATATCGCAACTGCACGGACAATTCACGTGCCAAATATCATCATCATTTACTCACAACACCTCGTGCCCACATTTCATATCATAACTGCACGGACAATTCACGTGCCAATATCCTCATTATTTACTCAAGGCATCTCGTGCCCATGTTTCTTTTTATAATTCGCTTGGCAATAGTCACAGGCTCCTAATTTCAACATAAATCAGATTGTTATCAATTTACCAACAACAAGACAAATTGCACAAGGTATAAAAATAAACACAGAAAAATCACAATATCACATGAAAATCACCAACACCACAACTCCACATCATCATGACACTAGCCACTCTTATCTCTCCTATAACCACCATTATCCCTCCGCCCTGACAATATCAATAGCCACCCTTATCGCTCCACCTAGATAATATTCCAACAACCGCAACAACAGTGAAATGCTACCCTTATACTCACATAATATCAACGGTGAAATGCCACCCTTATCTCCTCAAAATAATAACTCACACAACACAACAATTTACACGGAAAATTATCACGACAACATAACAAAATCAATTCATATCACAATTTTTCCAATGGCCACAACCAAAATTCCAAAGATACAACCAAATCAATTAATTTTACAACAAATAACCAAAGGCTCCACACAATGCGTATAACACCCCAAAACAATCAACAGAGATAGAAATTACTCAGCATAAAGCAAAGCCTTCATTAATTCAAATTTAGATAAATATATTAACACTTCCTTTTAAACTTGCTTAATTAATTATTTGCATATGAAAAATTCATATTGAAATTAAATTCCAAGAAATATCAACCCAACAATACTCACAAAATTACATAAAT